GGTGGGGGGGGGGGGGGGGGTGAAAATAATTCGCTGTCATGCGTGTTGTGTTGCATATGCTAAATAAAAACTAGTGTGTTCTTCTTGGCACTGACTTCCCGTGTGTCTCCTTTGAGCCGCATGGTTCAAAGCGTGGGAAAAAAGTAGCGGCTTATAGTCCGGAAAATATCGGCACTCCGTCTAGTTGCCTTCAGTGTAACTATTTTTGGTTCAGGAGAAACCAAAACCGTACGTTTGTTTGGGATTAGCGACGGTGTCATGTGTCCATTGCGTCATTTCCTGCTGCATTTATATTGGGTGATCAGTCGACAAAGGTCGTAACAGCTGTCACGCCATGAGACGGTCATTCTAAATTTCTGCTAGAAGTTTATCTCGAGTTTTATCTTTGAAACGGCCATTGTTGAATCTGCCTCATTGTTTCAGAGCGAGAACATCTCCACGTTGTCCTACAGTGGTCGTCTTTCATCTGGGTTACACTGTGTGTACTAGCCATTAAAGGCACAATTCGTATTTATTGCGTACACAGTTCTGACGGTCCAGCCGGCCTCACGAAAAGAACAAGAAAACTGATTAACCACTGTGTGCTGCTAGTGAGTCAGAATGAATGGATCCACATAAAAACACAAACACCGTAACACACGGTTTAACTGACATGTGTGGGATTATGGTGAGGAAACTCAATGCCAAAGGACAGGGCTGTTGACAGGATAGTAAATATTTACAAAGTACTTTCTCCCGCAGAGACTTTTCTTTGGTCTGTAATTGATTTGCTCTGCCTGAGACTCTCAGATCCTCAGGTGAAAACGCAGGTAGAAAGAAAAATGAGCTGATCACCAGACAGTCACCATCCACGTCTGGCATTTGCAGCCGTGCAACAGCTGAAGGTTTGTTTGAAGAGGAAACAGCAAATGAGTCGGGGGCCTTCAGTTACAGGTAAAGCTCAGGTTTAATGGGTTAAAAAAAGTGAAATGACTCGAGCGTTTCACTGCAGGGTGGAGCCGTTCTCAGCTTCCAGCCACTGAGTTATATAATATTTTGGGGTTGGAGGTTTGTTTTGCTGTTCTTCACTCCAACATATACTTGTAGGAACAATGTTCTTGGTATATTGCATAGTGTTTGCACAGTGCCTTCCCACAACAGAAATAAGGGTGAGAAAAACTTTACAGGTTAAAGAAAAGTTGGACAAAAGAACATCTTAAAAAAAAAGGATGTCATAAAAAGAGATAAATAAATATGTCATGTGATGTGTTACGTAACCGCCATTAAGAGAAAAAAATAATAATTGTGCTTGGTTTATGAGAAGAAGAATGTGTAAAAAAGTGTGATTTACAACAAATGCTGTGGGTGACATACTGTAGGGTCATGTAACCATGGAGACGAGATGCAGCTCAGACAGTAATAAGGCTGTAATGGTATTCTCCAGAGAGAATATGCAAAGATTTCTGCTGCGACAAATAAAATACAAAAGTGTAACTTAGATTCTGTTCTATTTTAAAATGTTTGTTAACCATTAAAACCATCACATTAGCCAATAGGACGTCTTTATACATGTTAGAGTGAGACACTCTACAGTTACTTCCTCATTTTAAGGGACACTCAGGCTGTTTCAGGGCCGTCCTCGTCCAACCAGAGCTGCCAAACCAACAGCTACTTCCTTCAGTAAAATCCCTGCTCATGTCCACACTCCGTGTACATGCAAATGAGTGAATTAGTCATATTTTATGAAATCTTTTAAGTGGTTCGCAGGCTGGAAAAGTACTGTAATGAAGAGAGAAAGTGTGTAGAACCAGTTTTTGTACTGCAATATTCAGTATTTGAAAAAAGGAAACTAAAAGAGAAATACATGTTATACTGCTGATGTGACCCTCTGATGATGATGATGATGATGATGATGATGATGATGATGATGATGATGATGATGATGATGATGATGATGATGATGATGTAGTGCCCCCCCCAGCTCACAGACCACTGATACAGAAGCTAACAGTGTTGTTGCTGTTATCAGCACTGAATGAAAACATTGTTTACTTCTAGAAAGAAGTACAAAAAAAAAAACAGCAGAAATTTCAAGGTAGTATTTAGTGTCTGTGTGTACTAGTGGCCATCCAATGTCTTTTCTACAGGTGAGTACACGCACACACACACACGTACACAAACACACACACACAAGTGGGCTTACCTGGATGCCATCTAGAAGTTTGCTCATGCACCAGAAGCTGTCGGCCTCGATGTTCCTCAAAGCTTCCTCCTGAAGACTGGACACGTCAAAGTTTTCCACCTCTTCTTCTACAGCAGAGAGAGGGAAAAACAGAGATTATGAGTATTGCCTCTTCTTCTACAGCAGAGAGAGGGAAGAACAGAGATTATGAGTATTGAGGTGATGATGATAATAATGATGATGAAGAACAGAAAAGAGCAAACTGTTTTAAAGTGTCGAGACCAGAAGTAATGGAATGGAAACTGGCAATATTTATTCTCTGCCCAAACTGCCAGAGAAGAAGTCAACCACAATCAGCTCGACTTAAATGCGCGGTTGGAGCAGCTGTTGGAACAGAGTGGAGACAAAAGGAGCCGCCATCTGACCAATTTGAAGCCAGTATTTAATTTGATAGTTTCTCTATAGTGATGCAGCAGATAATGACAATCGATGAATGCAGACTACTCTCGGCGGGACACGCTGGCTGTGGACATTAAATGTGAAGTTGAAAGGATTAATTGTAAACAGGCCCACATGCAATTGCTGTGGTGTCATTGCTGATTAACAGGGTGATGAGTGTGCCACTGCCTCCACGTTCTCAAAGACCCAGAGGATTCCAGGCTCAAATTAGTCTTTGTCAGGCCGCAGCCTTGTTCCAAACTCAGACCTTGACTCTGGAGCAGATTAGAAAGGACAGCTGCTTCCACGAGTCCAGTGGTCACGCCGGAGTCGGGCATTGCTCATCGCGACACCCAAGGACGTTCGGGGGGAGAGGCGTAGTGGAAGTGACTGGATTACACGGCGACTGTTCACTCTGCAATAACCGCTGGCCGCTGCACCAGGACCAGGGGTATTAATCATTCTGATGGTCAAGTCATGGAGAGAGAATCTTCGTCTGCTAAGTACGAGTGTTAATTGTAATTGTTTCGACGGTAAATCAAGATGTGGGGCTTCAACGATCGATGGACGGCACGCAGAGCTGCAGAGGCCGCTTCTGTTTTTGGCTTTTTTCAAGTGATGGCCTTCAAGTTTACATTATATGCTGAAAAAAACTTTGCACAAAAAAATAGCTTTTCTGCCAAAAAAGACAATTTGATGCACATTGATGAAAATACATTTCTCTTTTCTTTTTTTTAAGAATTTTGTATTTTTTTCATTATGACCTCAATGCAAAACATGTCGCTGCGAGAACCTAAAACAGTGAATAATTTTGAAAATTTAATTTCACGGTGTATATTTATTCTCTAATTAAAACTGATTTGACTTGAAAAAATAATGGATGGAAATACTTTTTTTAAATTGACTCTCAAAAACAAGTGTAAATATTATAAAAACCTAAAAAAGGAAAATACATTCACCTGTAAAATACAACACAGTTTGTGTCTTGACTCGATGCACCCTCCCAAGAAGGAGTTGTTAATTACTTTGATAGGATCCATGCCCCAGTAGAAATTCCTCCAAGATACCCTCTTGGTAATTACTTTCGAAGCTCTGCTCTGCACACAAGGACCGGCCGACAATATGTGTCTGAGACATGATCCGTGTAGAAATCCTTTACAAATAAGAACCTGGGGAATTTCTGGAAGTTCAAGCTTCACTGAGCCTCACATTAGAGAGCTGGAGTCTCCGTGGCTTTGGCTCAGTGTAGGATGTTGCCTCGAAATATTCTTCAGCCGACTAATACTCCGAGAGGTCAAACACAAACATGTCATGGTAGAGGAAGTTGTTTTTTATACTTCCAAGTCTCACAGGACACGCGCCGACTTCAATGTCTACTCTCAATCAAAACGCCTCTAATCCCACTCGGGCAAGTTCCACATTTAATGAGCGGGATGGGAGTCATGACAGAAGTGTCATGTATGAAGAAGAAAAAACTAAACTTTCACACAGATAACAACAAAACATGTTTTTTTAATCACACTATTATATATATTTATTTAAAAACTTATAATATTCAAAAGTAAAATTATAAGGAACTGAATTGATCGGTACCATAATCCTAGTGTTTCTTTTTTTTAAATTGACAGATATTCTTCACCAATTTTCACCATTAATATTAATAGTATACACAGTGCTCCCAGTGGCCACTTGCAGAACTACAGCCAAAAGCTCAACAGGGCCACCTCAGCCTTTATTTCATAAACAGAGCAAATATATTACTGTCACTCTGCATATCTGTGGAAAAAAATAGGTTGTAGTTCTGCAAGTGGCCACTGGGAGCCACAAAAATGTACAAAATATATGCTGATATGTAACTATGAAAAGATTTAAAATTTTAAAAAGTGTCTTAACGGTCTTATTAACAGGAAGTATTTGATTCATTAGTATAACTTAAAGCCTGGGCCAAACACCAGGCAACACACAATTAAAAAATAAATACTACAGAAATAATCAACTGTGTCAGACGTGAAACCTCCAAATATTAAGACAATGTGACAACAATCAAACCTAACCATCACCTGACATCACTGGAGCGAGGTCAACTACTGAGTGACTGTTTTCTTACTGTTTTGTTCGCTGCGAGAACCTAAAACAGTGAATAATTTTGAAAATTTAATTTCACGGTGTATATTTATTCTCTAATTAAAACTGATTTGACTTGAAAAAATAATGGATGGAAATACTTTTTTTAAATTGACTCTCAAAAACAAGTGTAAATATTATAAAAACCTAAAAAAGGAAAATACATTCACCTGTAAAATACAACACAGTTTGTGTCTTGACTCGATGCACCCTCCCAAGAAGGAGTTGTTAATTACTTTGATAGGATCCATGCCCCAGTAGAAATTCCTCCAAGATACCCTCTTGGTAATTACTTTCGAAGCTCTGCTCTGCACACAAGGACCGGCCGACAATATGTGTCTGAGACATGATCCGTGTAGAAATCCTTTACAAATAAGAACCTGGGGAATTTCTGGAAGTTCAAGCTTCACTGAGCCTCACATTAGAGAGCTGGAGTCTCCGTGGCTTTGGCTCAGTGTAGGATGTTGCCTCGAAATATTCTTCAGCCGACTAATACTCCGAGAGGTCAAACACAAACATGTCATGGTAGAGGAAGTTGTTTTTTATACTTCCAAGTCTCACAGGACACGCGCCGACTTCAATGTCTACTCTCAATCAAAACGCCTCTAATCCCACTCGGGCAAGTTCCACATTTAATGAGCGGGATGGGAGTCATGACAGAAGTGTCATGTATGAAGAAGAAAAAACTAAACTTTCACACAGATAACAACAAAACATGTTTTTTTAATCACACTATTATATATATTTATTTAAAAACTTATAATATTCAAAAGTAAAATTATAAGGAACTGAATTGATCGGTACCATAATCCTAGTGTTTCTTTTTTTTAAATTGACAGATATTCTTCACCAATTTTCACCATTAATATTAATAGTATACACAGTGCTCCCAGTGGCCACTTGCAGAACTACAGCCAAAAGCTCAACAGGGCCACCTCAGCCTTTATTTCATAAACAGAGCAAATATATTACTGTCACTCTGCATATCTGTGGAAAAAAATAGGTTGTAGTTCTGCAAGTGGCCACTGGGAGCCACAAAAATGTACAAAATATATGCTGATATGTAACTATGAAAAGATTTAAAATTTTAAAAAGTGTCTTAACGGTCTTATTAACAGGAAGTATTTGATTCATTAGTATAACTTAAAGCCTGGGCCAAACACCAGGCAACACACAATTAAAAAATAAATACTACAGAAATAATCAACTGTGTCAGACGTGAAACCTCCAAATATTAAGACAATGTGACAACAATCAAACCTAACCATCACCTGACATCACTGGAGCGAGGTCAACTACTGAGTGACTGTTTTCTTACTGTTTTGTTTCTTTCCTTCTTTTGTGTTTTTTTTTTCAATAAATCTCTGTGGAACATCAATGTTTTCCATTCATTCTTCCTTCTTTCTTTCTGCTGTAGTTCTTTTTTGCTACCACTGCACCGTCTCTCCACGCTGCAGGCTCTGGAGCCAGATTTCCTCCAGGCCCCAGGGCTTATTTCCTGTTTGTCCTGGCACAGTGGGGGGAGGAGGGGGGACAACCTGTCCAGAGAGACCAACGGTTTGGCCACTGCCAGCTGTGAGCACTTGGCACGGCTGGGTACGCTGAGGCAGGTTACACCTCCGGAGACTAAGTACACACTCACACAAGTGCATGTGTTTTGACTATTCACCAAACACACACACACTCACATACACACACACACACTCACTCACTCACTTGCTCCAGTGATGCCATCTGCTTTTTACAACTACGGGCCACAAGGTAATGTGATGTAAGATGATAAACGAGCGACTTCAGCTTGATGTAATCATAAAGTGCGTGTGATGAGTGCAAGAGTGTGTGTTGCTCTTTTGCAATTGGCAATAAAAAAAAAAGAAAAACTCCTCGTTGACAACCTTCTGTTGGTTCAGATTAATCACAAGTGATCCTGAGCCGTCGACTGCCACGGGGGGAGAGAGAGGGAGAAGGAGAGAGAAAAAGAGAGAAAAAGGGAGAGAGAGAGAAGGAGAGAGAGAGAAGGAGAGAGAAAAAGAGAGAAAAAGAGAGAGAGAGAGAGAAGGAGAGAGAGAGAAGGAGAGAGAAAAAGAGAGAAAAAGGGAGAGAGAGAGAAGGAGAGAGAAAAAGAAAGAAAGAGAGAGAGAAAGAGAGAGAGAGAGAGGGGTTGACTTTAACAGGATTTTACCATCCAATGGTTTATGAAATGACATGGAGCGCTGCAGTCATTACTTATCATTTACAGCAGCAGGCACGGCTAAATCTAATGAATCTAATGACCTACAGTTGACGTGGCGGTTCAATTTTTTTTTTTTTTTTTACCTGTGGAATGACACTGAGACAGAATGACCCGAGGCTGTGAGCGTGTGAGCTGATAATGGAACATGTACGGTTATTGCTGCCCCAAAATCCCCCACCCCCCCCCCCCCCCCCCCCCCCGACCCTCCAGGCTAAACTTCACACTCACACCGCAGCACCATTTTCCCTCAGCGACACAATTAGTGTGATAACACCCGTGTTAATAAGAGCTGAACTATTTCCGGGGATGTGGCATTCATACTGCTGCATAATT